TTTATATATTACACTCCTACCGTCTAATAAAACCAATTTCGGATTTGGTGATCGGTCATTCATTAATTAATTACTTCGGCTCCTACGTCGTATCTTCATTACAGATATAGCAGAGCTAGTGTCAGAGACACATATTATAAGGGGTGTAATACATAAAGCAAAGTTAGCATTACGTCCGAAACTGTATAAAGAGAGGTATAAATAACCAATTAACGTATATCTGAAAAATCGATTGATGTTCGACCAACATATATCACATGCGATCACCCGGAAAAATTTCTGCCGAAAAGTAATGTGATACAAGCCTTGTGCAACCGAATACATTTCTCACATATATACCCATGCCGGTAGAATTTCACTTTTTTCTTGTGTACCATTTCGCAGTCTACCAATAACATTCCACCAAAAAATCATATATAACTCAAAGTGTCTACTATGTCAACTCCAATCTCCGTTTCTTCTAATAATGTAACGGAAGAAAAGCCCTCTCCCACTTTAGCCGAACTGGTTAGAAAATATGATACGGAAAAGCTTATCGAGTTTTTGAAGACTTACAACTCAACGATGCTCATTTCGAAATCTTACGCAAGCGGGAGATCGCTGGTCGTGATTTCCTCAAGATGGACAAACAAGATTTCAGAGATTGTGGGTTAGAAGTAGGGCCTGAGATAAGATTTGTGGACTTCGCCAAGGAAGTTAAGGAGAAAAAATTGAGGGCGTATTCATCTTTCCGCACTCAGGCAGACGTGAAGGAAGGTATAAACTCGGTGATTCACTATCGAGCATTCCACAATTTCAGCCGGCTATACACAGACTCGAGGATACCAATGAGGCGCTTATGCATTACATAAAGGAATTACGACTCAGGTTAAAAAATTTGGGTTGGCACCAGATAGCAATGAGGCGGTACGTTGTGAATTCATATTACCAATTCTGCATGCGTCAGTTAGCCTCCTCTAAGGTCTTATCCTGGCACCACAATTCGAAGTCGTCGGTGATGAAACCACGGGTCGGGTTGATTATGCCATCAAAAAACTCCTAGATTCATTGCGTAAGGAAATTGTATGTATCACGGAAGGCAAGTGGCGATTGGTTTTTGTCAGAATTTACTTCAGATTGAGAGCGCGTGTCAAACGAATAAGCGGAAACATAAGGCAGGAGAGGCATTTTCTGACGAATACGACTACATGAACGGGATTGTAACTACAGGTAAGGATTAATAACGAATTTTTTTTCTTCCAGCAAAATTTTGCTAATCTATCTCCCAACTTTTAGCAACGGAATGGTACTTCATTTTGTACATGACTGAAGGAATTTATTTCACGAGCGAGAAGGATTACCTCATCAGCTTCAAAAAGTCGGCCCTCGATAGTAAGACGAATTCCGGCGCAATGTAAAAAGGGTAATGGAGGTAATTGTTGGTTTGTTGGAAGATAGGGCAGGCGCAGTGAATGAGAAACCATTGGCGAAAAAACGTCGCGTTGGTAGTATTCTCAACAAATAGTCAGGGGTTGTACCCGACTTTGTAATTTATTTTTTCAATAATAAAG